TCGACGCCGACCAGTTCTTCAGAGGCGCGTCCAGCCGTGGCGACGAGGAGGCCCCTCTCTCCCCCCGCCCTGCTGGCCAGAATCAGTGCTCGGCCACCTCGGTCCCGCAGCCGGCTTCGAGGCCGGCAGTGTGCACCTGAGCTGACCTGGGAGGCGCAGGCTCCCACGCAGGGCGGCAAGCGCGGGGGTCGACGAGCAGCCGTGCCTCGTACTTCACGCGCTCGTTGGCCTCACCGTCCTCCCACGCCTGCTCCTCACACTCCTCGATGGCCCGCGCGTCCTCGGCCTCACGGGCGGGCCCATGCTTGGGCGAGCCCAGAGGCTAATCATCATCATCATCATCATCATCATCATCATCATCATCATCATCATCATCATCATCATCATCATCATCATCATCATCATCATCATCATCATCATCATCATCATCATCATCATCATCATCATCATCATCATCATCATCATCATCATCATCATCATCATCATCATCATCATCATCATCATCATCGTCATCATCATCATCATCATCGTCATCATCATCATCATCATCATCATCATCATCATCATCATCATCATCATCATCATCATCATCATCATCATCATCATCACCTTCACCATCACCATCATCAGCATCATCATCATAATCACCACCATAATCATCAGCATCATCATCATTATCATCATCATCATCAATATCATCATCATCATCATCATCATCATCATCATCAGCATCATATTCATCTTCATATTCATCTTCATCATCATTATCATCATCATAATCACCACCATCATCCTCAGCATCGTCATCAGCAGCAGCATCATCATCAGCATCATCATCGTCAGTGTCATCATCATAACCATCAGTATCACCATCATCATCAGCAGCATTATCATTAGCATCAGCATCATCATCAGCAGCAGAAGCAGCAGCATCATCATCGTCATCATCATCATCAGCCGCCGCCCGATTATCATGCCGCTCCTCCTGCTCCTTCAGCTCATCCTCCTCCTCCTCCTCCTCTTCCTTATTATCCTCCTCCTCCTCATCCTCCTCCTCCTCTTCCTCCTCCTCTCCTGCTCCTCCTCCTCCTCCTCCTCCTCCTCCTCCTCCTCCTCCTCCTCCTACTCCTTCTCCTCCTCCTCCTCCTCCTCCTACTCTTCCACCTCCTCCTACTCCACCTCCTCCTGCTCCTCCTCCTCCTCATCATCATCCTCCTCCTCCTCCTCCAACGTCTCTCCCTCCTCCTCCTCCTCCTCCTCCTCCTCCTCCTCCTCCTCCTCCTCCTCCTCCTCCTCCCTCCTCCTCCTCCTCCTCCTCCTCCTCTCCTCCTCCTCCTCCTCCTCCTCCCCTCCTCCTCCTCCTCCTCCCTCCCCCTCCCCTCCCCCTCCCCTCCCCTCCCCATCCCCCTCCCCCCCACCACATCATCATCATCATCATCAGCATCATCATCATCATCATCATCATCTCATCATCATCATCATCAGCAGCAGCAGCAGCAGCAGCATCATCAGCATCATCATCATCAGCATCGGCATCAGCATCATCATCAACATCATCAGCAGCAGCAGCAGCATCAGCATCAGCATCAGCATCAGCATCATCATCATCATCACCATCATCATCATCATCATCATCATCATCATCATCATCATCCTCTTCATCGTCATCTTCATCATCATCAACAACAACATCAACGACATCAACATCATCATCAGCAGCAGCATCATCAGCAGCAGCATCCTCGTCATCATCAGCAGCATCATCATCAGCAGTAGCATCAGCAGCATAATCATCAGCAGCAGCATCATCAACAACATCAGCATCACCATCATCATCATCATCATCATCATCAGCAGCAGCAACATCAGCATCGGCATCGTCAGCATCATCATCAGCATCATCGTCATCGTCAGCATCAGCATCAGAATCGTCATCAGCATCAGCATCATCATCAGCATCAGCATCAGCATCATCATCTCGTCATCACCATCAACATCATCATCATCAGCATCATCATCATCCGCATAAGCATCGTCAGCAGCAGCATCATCAGCAGCAGCATCATCGTCACCACCACCACCACCACCACCATCATCATCATCATCATCATCATCAGCAGCAGCATAATAATAATACGAATAATAGTAATAATACGAATAATGATAATAATAATAATAATAATAATAATAATAATAATAATAATTAGCAGCATCATCAATAGCATCATCACCAGCATCATCATCATTGTCATCATACTCATCATCATCAGCATCAGCATCAGTAGCAGCATCATCATCAAGCAGCATCAGCATCATCATTATCATCATCATCATTATCAACAGCATCAGCATCATCAACATCATCATCAGCATCATCATCAGCATAATTATCCTCAACATCATGGGCATCATAAGTATCATCGAAATGCGCAGCAGCATCATCGGCATCATCATCATCATCATCATCATCATCATCAGCATCAAAAATATTATTATCAGCAGCGACATCGTCATCATCACCATCAACATTAGCATCATCATCAAAATCAGCATCCTCATCATCATCGTCATCAGCATCAGCATCAGCATCAGCATCAGCATCATTAGCATCATCAGCATCATCATCTGAATCATCGTCCTGCAAGCGTCCCCCCTGTGCATTAACCTGACATGCTCGTCCTCCTCAGGAGGGAGGGAGCAGAGAGGAGCGAGCAGAAAGGAGGGAGCGATGGAGGGACACGGATGGACGAGGAGGGCGAGGGGGTAGGAGAAAGAAGAGGAGAGAGCAGGGAGGAGGAATAGGAGGAGAAGGAGGAAGAGGAGGAGGAGGAGAAAGGAGAAAAAAGGAGGAGGAGAGGGGAGAAAGGAGGGAGGGAGGAGGGAGGAGGGGAGGTCAGAGGAGGGAGGGGGGCGAAGCAGGAGGAGGGGGGAGAGAGGCGGGAGGCGGGCGGCGGATGAGGAGGAGGAGGAGGAGGAGGAGGAGGAGGAGGAGGCGTTGGGCCGATGCCGAGAGGCCGCGCGAGAGAGGGAGGAGGCACCGCGCTGAGGGCGAGGGCCGCCTGCCGGCCGGAGGGGAGGCGCCGAGCTGCGGCCGCGGGTCCGCCTCGGGGCCCCGCGGGTCGCCCCCGGTCGCAAGAGGTGCCTCACCGGTTTTGGCCTCCTCCGCCTCCTCCTCCTCCTCCTCCTCCTCCTCCTCCTCCTCCTCCTCCTCCTCCTCCTCCTCCTCCTCCTCCTCCTCCTCCTCCTCCTCCTCCTCCTCCTCCTCCTCCTCCTCCTCCTCCTCCTCCTCCTCCTCCTCCTCCTCCTCCTCCTCCTCCTCCTCCTCCTCCTCCTCCTCCTCCTCCTCCCCCACCTCCTCCTCCTCCTCCTCCCTCCTCCTCCTCCTCCCCCACCTCCTCCTCCTCCTCCCCCCTCCTCCTCCTGCTCCCTCCCCTCCTCCTCCCCCTCCTCCTCCTCCTCCTCGTTCGCCCCGTCCCCTCCTCCGCGCCCGCCCGCGAGGGCCACCCCGCGCCTGAGGCGGGCAGCGCAGGCGCCCGCCCCTCGGCCCGCACCTTCCGCACCTTCCGCGCGGAACGTGCCGCCGCGGTGCGGCCGCGGCGGCCGCCACGGCCGCCGCTGTGACCTCGACGGTGGCCGCCGCCTCAGGTCGCCGACAGCGAGCTCAGGAAGAGGCTCAGGGCTACTTCGAACAGCCTCCCGTGTGACACTCAAGACGTGCCCGAGAGCCTCGCTGGGGTCAGGAATCGGCGGAGCCCATGTCCATGTCCTGTGCCACCGCTTGGCCTTACGATCGACGATGTCACGGGGGTGAGGCGGCGGCCGCGGCAGCGCGGCACTGCCGCGCGGAAGGTGCGGAAGGTGCAGGTCGAGGGATCCTGAAGCTGTCCTGCTTCTTGCCCTGGGACCCTCACGGATCGGTCTGGCTCGAGACGTGCTGCAGAAAGGCGGGGTCCAGGGCCCCGATCGAGTAGTTCTGCGATGATGCTGCAGTGCCCTGTCGCATCTCAAGCTCCCCAGGCCCTCGCCCAGGGGGCCCCTCGGGTGCAGAGCCGGCCCTGTCTGTGAGGGGAGGGTCGGGACTTCTGGGGGGGGCCCGTGTGGCAAAAGTCTCCCTGCCTGCCGACGAAGGCCTGCAGTGACGCGGTCTGAGCTTGCCCCCCCCCCGCTCGCTCCTCCCCAACGCGGCCGCCCTGCTCCTCTTTCTCTCGCCTTCCGCCGGGCTTTCACTCGCCGCTCCGTGCCTCCGAGCCCCCTCGACCGGCCCGCGCGCTCCCGCAAGGCCCGCGGGCGAAGGAGCCGAAAGAGGTCGAGGCGCCGGCTCTGTGGGGGCCCGGCTCTGTGGCGCCGATGTGGCGTCGATGTGCGCCGACCCTGCCTCGACAAAGGTCGACCAGTGCCGGCCACCGTCGGTTCGCAAGAGCCAGCTAAATGACACGGGAGGCCCCCATATGGGCTGCCACAGAGCTGCTTGGCCCCTCGGGGCTGGCTGGAGGGCTCCCCAGACTGCCCCTCCCTCCCATCCAGGCCGGACCGTGCACCTGGCCCCACGGTGCCCCCAGTGTTGCCGGAAGTGCCCCTGGCCCACGGTGCCCCCCCAGCCTCCCGCTCCATCTCGGAGCCCCTGGGGGCCCTCCTTGCCTCGCGGGGGGGTGCCCTGGAGGCCGTCGGCGCCGCCCTGAGAACCCTGTGGGGCACCCTGTGGCCCAGGGGCACTCCTGGCAGCACCCGCCCTGTGCGGGGCCGTGCCGCCGCGGGTGCGCCCCGAGGGCCCCCGGGGGCGCGCCTCGGCGCCGGCGCGCGCCCGTGCACACCAGGCGGCGCAACGCGGGCCAGCGGCGGGCACCAGCACACGCCCCGAGAGTCCTCGGCCGCCCCCATGGGCCGCCCGCCCCGCCCGCGGCCGCGGGGGGCGCCTCCTTCCTGCCGACCTCGCCCTTCTTCCGCGCGCGGGCCGCCTCCCGCTTCGCCTGGCGCTCCTCCTCCTCGCGCTGCTTCTTCTCCTTCGGGGGTGGCGCAGGAGGCCCCTCCCTCCCCGCCAGCGCCAGCGCATGTGGGGGCGCACAAAGACACACTGGTACTGGACTGGATGTTCTCCTTGGAGACGCACGTCTGACCCAAACATACAGTAGCTCCATCTTGTAGTACATCGTTTCCCGAGCGGTGTGGCCAGAATTCGCCCGCCACGACGCACATACTACAAGATTTCTCGGTGCGCGCATCGCCCTGTGGGGGGGGGGGGGGGGGCGACGCACATATAGACTAAGCATGTTGCCGTGACGCCGACATGTCCACCTCCACCGCGCTGGGCTCGTGGCTGGGCACCCGGGGGGCCTGTGGGCATAGACCTCTGCCCGCCCCCGAAGGCGGGGGGGCGGGGGACGGTCAGGAGCTTCTGCACAGCGTGTCGTGGCGGCGGCCCGGGCCACACGCTATGCCTTGTGCGAGCGGATCGCGTGCCGCTCGGCTCCGCGGGGCGGGAGGCCCGGACATACGCGGCGCGTGGACGCCTGGGGACCGCGAAGTGATTAGCGTGTGGCGCCGAAGCGCGGTGGGCCAGAACCGGCGGAGCGGCACGCCGAGCCACAGTCCCTGACCATGTCCACATCCACCGCTCCTCGGGGCCCCAGGGCACGACTCCGCAGCGGTGGATGTGGACATGTTTGGGCGGTGGATGCCCTCGAGGCCTCCCAGATGAGGCCGGAGCAGACGGGAGCGAAGGATCGCGCCGCACCGCCGACGCCTCGGCGATGCATCGGCGAGGCCAGGGTGGAGAAATTCGATCTGGGCATCGCGCCGCATCTCTGATGCATCGGCGATGCGGCGCGACCATCCGAGGCATCGGCGATGCGGCGCGACGATCCTCCGAACCAATCTTCTCGGATCCCTTCGGGACGACCTGAACTCCCCTCTCCCCCTTGCTACCCAGGCATCCGATGTCTCCAGTTGTTTAGCACAGGGCCCCCGAGAGTTCCGCCCCTTTTCCCAGTGACGACTTCTGATCACGGGTCGTCTTCGCCGGACCTGGTGAGGGCTCCCCAAGCCTGGAAACCGCAATACTGAGTTGAATGTTCAGTTCTTGAAAAGTTGGGGGTCTGGATACCCCTGTCCTCCTCTCTCCCTCTTTTATCCTCCCCCTCCTCCTCCTCCTCCTCCTCCTCCTCCTCCTCCTCCTCCTCCTCCTCCTCCACCTCCTCCTCCTCCTCCTCATCCTCCACCTCCTCCTCCTCCTCCTCCTCATCATCATCGTCAAGGCATCGTCATCGTCATCGTCATCGTCGTCGTCATCATCATCAATCATATCATCATCAATCATCAGCACATCATCATCATCATCATCATCATGCATCATCATCATCATCTCATTATCATCATCATCTCATCATCATCATCATCATCATCATCATCATTCATCATCATCACTATCCTGCTCCTCACTCCTCCCCTCTCCTCCTCCTCCTCCTCCTCCTCTCCCACCGCCGCCTCCTCCTCACTCCTCCTCCTCCTCCTCCTCCTCCTCCTCCGCCTCCTCCTCCTCCTGCTCCTCGTCCTCCTCCTCCTCATCAATCAGCAGCAATCATCAGCATCATCATCATCATCATCATCATCATCATCATCATCATCATCATCATCATCATCATCATCATCATCACCATCTTCTTATTATTAGTTTTCTTATTTTTCTTATTATTCTTATTATTATTATTATCATTATTAGTAGTAGTATTATTATTAGTATTATTATTATTCTTATTCATAATATTATTATTCGTGTTGTTCTTCTTCTTCGTCTTCTTCTTCTTATTAGTAATATTATTCTTATTCTTATTAGTATCCTTTATCATCATCATCAGCATCATCATCATCAGCAGCAGCAGCATCGCAATCAGCATCAGCATCAGCATCATCATCGCCATCATCATCATCATCATCATCATCATCATCATCATCATCATCATCATCATCATCATCATTATCATCATCAGCATCACCATCGTGATCATTATCATCGTCATCGTCATCGTCATCATCATCGTCATCATCAGCATCAGCAGCAGCATCATCATCAGCATCAGCATCATCATCAGCAGCATCAGCATCATCATCATCAGCAGCATCATCATCATCACCATCACCATCACCATCATCAGCATCGTCATCTTCATCATCAGCATCACCATCATGATCAGCAGCAGCATCATCAAAATCATCAGAATCATCATCCGCATGCTCATCCTCATCCTCATCCTCGTCCTCATCCGCATCCTCATCCTCATCCGCACCCTCATCCTCCTCCTCATCCTCCTCCTCATCCTCCTCCCTCCTCCTAACTCGAACTCCTCATTCCTCACACCTCATTCGTCACTCAGCCCTTGCTCCCTCCCTTCCCTCTCCCCTCCCCCTCCCCCCCCACACACACACGCTCACACTAACACTCACACACACACACACACACACACACAGACACAGACACACACACCACACACACACACCACACACAAACACAACACACACACACGCACACGCACACGCACACGCACAGCACACGCACACGCACACGCACACGCACACGCACACGCACACGCACACGCACACGCACACGCACACGCACACGCACACGCATTCGCACACGCACACGCACACGCACACGCACACGCACGCGCGCACGCGCACGCACGCACGCACGCACGCGCGCACACCTACCACACCCTTTCTCCCCTCCCCCCCGCCCTCCCCACTCCCATCCTCCCCGCCTGGGGGTCCCCTCCCCCCCTCCATTCCCCCCCCCTTCCCCATATCCCTCCACGAAGACCACCAAGGGCTGCCGAAGGCCTCCAAGGGCCGCCGAAGGCCGCCGAGGGCACCGCCGAGGGGCGCAGCCGAGGGCGCCACGCGCGGATCCTCCAGCGCGCGCAGGCCGAGGCCCGACTGCACCGCCACCTCGCCAGCGGCCCCTTCTGCCCCGCCGAGCGCTTCGCGGTGCCAAGACGAGGGCGCCCTGACCCCCTTCTCGTCGTAAAAGAATCACGCCAACGGCGCTTGGCTACTTTCGGCCTCTGGGGGCCCTCGCCGTGTCCCTGGCCGTAAAAAAAGCAACTCGGGGCGACAAACGGGTCCCTGGGAATGGGTCGAGACCTCCTGGGCTCCACGTCGTGCGGAAACCACGACGTCGGGGATCTGGGAGGCACGATCGTCGTGGTACCAACAGGAACGCTGAGTTGGGAACGCAGGTGCGCTTCTGCCCACTGAAGGTCTTGGCCACGAACGGGCTCCCCGACCATGTGAGGAGCGGCCCGAACGCAAAGGGCCATCCTGAGCCCCAAATTGTCCTTATTTCAGCGTCTGGCTGGACTCTCCCAAAGGCCGCCGCCGCCACCGACTTGAGCCTGACGCTCCTGGAAGGCGGCAGCGGGGTCCAAGCACCTCTCTCCCCGGCAGAGTTGGCGCGGCTCGGGAGCCAGAGACGCTCCAGACACGCCCCATCGGACGTGGTGTGGTCGCTGCAAACATGCTCTCGCACAGTCATCCAGCAACCCACTGGCCCGCACGAAGAGGAGGAGGAGGAGGAGGAGGCGGAGGAGTGTTAGCCCACGACTCATCAACGGTGTTGGAATACACCCTCCCCCACAGCTCCTTCTTCATAGGTCCATACAAGGGTTCATGTCCACGGAAGGAATGGCCCCGCTCGGGGAGAACTGTGGCGAATCAGTGTCACTGTTGCGCCCTGACAGTCCTGAATCGTTCCAAAACGCCTTGTCTGTTACGTCATGAGAACCAGCGACACTCTTGCAAAAATGTGTAACGAATGCGGGCGGCGCCGAAGCAAGAATCACATGTTTCGAAAACGGCCCACCCTCAATCCTCGAAGATCTTGCAATTCCTGTTCAGCGAATGTGCGCGGCACTTAAGCGAAAGCCACATTTAGAAAACGAACCGCCCTCAGTCCGTGAATCTCTTGCACATGTTCAGAACGAGTGTGCGCGGCGCTAGAACGAGGACCACATTTTGACAAAAAATGGCCCTCAATCCGTGAAAGGCTTGCCCAGTTTTAAAACGAAGGTGCGCGGCACTAAAGCGAGAGCCACATGTTGATAACGACCCGACCTCAACCCGTGAAACTCTTGCAAATTCTGCGAGTCGCTACGGCGAGAGCCGCATATTGAAAACAACCCGTCCTCCATCAAGCCTCAGGATCATAATTAACTGGTGAAAGAATCTCAAGCGAAAAGCCCGGCCTGCCTGTTCGACCGGCCTCGGGGTGCGATAGGGAGGACCTATCTATAAGGACAAGGAACGGAGGAGGAGGTGGAGGAGAAGGAAAAGGAGGAGGAGGAGGAGGACGAGGAAGCGGAGGAAGGGGAGGAGGAGGAGGAGGAGGAGGAGGAGGAGGAGGACGAGGAGGACGAGGAGGAGGAAGAAGGCGAGGGCATCGGGGCGATCGCGCGACACTGGCCGCATCACCGAGCCACCGAGGAGGAGGAGGAGGAGGAGGAGGAGGAGGAGGAGGAGGAGGAGGCGGAGGCGGAAGGGGAGGAGGAGGAAGGGGAGGCGGAGGGGGAGAAGCAGGAGGGGGAGGCGGAGGGGGAGGAAGAGGAGGAGGAAGTCGAGGTGGGGGAAAGAGGAGGAGAAGGGGGACGAGGAGGAGGAGGAGGAGGAGGACCACGACCAGGGTGTAGGAACGGCCAGACGGTCGGCAGGACATGGACAACCAGACAGTCAAAATAATGCTAAGCGAAATCGCACCGGTAAGTGGCATGACAATAAGGAATGCCAAATACGGAACGAAACCTTCTGTTGGCCCCAGAAATGTCTGGATGCACGAGGACGGCTGGAGGAGCAACCACGGAATGGCTTGAGGAACAACGACGCTTTTCCGGACCCAAAGCGGTCTTTGTTTCAGCGTCTTGGCTGCACGTGAGCACTGTTGCATTCGCGGCGATAACAATCGCCATGGGGGGAGAGGCGACGGCATGGGGGGAGCATAACGTAACATCCCCGACCC